GTTGGACTTATGAGGCTCCATTGCTTCACCCTCAATGGCTACGGGTAAGGAACCATAGTTCAGAGTTTAACGTCGCCAGCTCGACTTATTAATTGTAGACTTCATCAATCTATCAAAGTGACAGATGGTTGTTGCTCAAAATGCCCTCCAAAATATAATTTTAACCTGTGACCATTTACCTTAAATTTGTCTCCTCCATTGGTTTGTTGAATTTCAATTGCTCCGTATGGAGTAACATCTGTAACATTGTTAGGACCCGTCCACCTTGATTTTAATTTTCCTGGAAATAACCTGAGTCTACTGTTGTATAGAAGTACATGATATCCAATTTTAAAAGTTTTCTGTCGGATTAAATTGTCGTGCCATTTTTTTGTTTTTTCTTTAAAAATTTTGGCATTTTCATAGGCTTCTAATATGAGTTCTTCCAATTCATTTACCTGAGAAAATCTATTTTTACCAGCAGAGGTTAATTCAAAGTTCAATGCTTTCAACGCCAAAAAGCTTTGTGTTCTAATTCAACTGGAAGATGACAAGCTTTTCCAAAGACTAATCGATATGGAGACATACCAATTGGCGTTTGAAATGCCGTTCGATATGCCCACAGTGTGTCATCTAATTTTGAACTCCAGTCTTTCTTGGAGATTCCAACCGTTTTTTCAAGTATTCTTTTAATTCGCGGTTAGAAACCTCAACTTGCCCTTGTGTTTGAGCATGATATGGTGTTCCTGTTTTGTGAGTCACACCATATTTTGATAACAATGCTGAAAATTATCTATTTATGAAATGAGACCCTTGGTCGCTAATGATAACTCGTGGTGTACCAAACCTGGTAAAAATATTTTTCTTAAGAAAATTGCACACAGTTTGAGCATCATTTTTCCTTGTTGGGATGGCTTCAACCCATCTTGAAACATAATCCACAGCCACAAGGATATATTCAAAAGAATGAGATGAAGGAAAAGGACCCATGAAATCTATCCCCCAAACATCAAATATTTCACATACCTGTATTGATTGCAATGGCATCTCATCTCTCTTAGTGATATTGCCTGTTCTTTGACACCTGTCACACTGTGCAACGTAGGCACGAGCATCCTTAAAAAGTGTTGGCCAGAAAAATCCAACCTCTAGAACTTTAAAGGCAGTTCGATTTGCTGCATAGTGTCCTCCAACTGCTCCATCGTGGCAATGATACAAAATTTTGGTCATTTCTTCTTCTGGTACACATCTTCTGATAATATTATCTGCACAAATTTTAAACAAGTAAGGGTCATCCCACAAATAGTATTTAGCATCAGATATCAACTTTTTCCTCTGTTGGTAAGTGAGATTTTGGGGTGTCCATTTTCCAACCAAGTAATTTGCAATATCTGCAAACCAGGGTGGTTGAGTCACAACAGAGTTGATAGAAAAAATATGTTCATCAGGAAACTCTTCTTTTATATCACATAACTCAAGTGGGGGGTTCTCTAATCTAGACAAATGGTCAGCTACCTGATTCTCTGTTCCCTTTTTATCTTTTATTTCGAGCTCAAATTCTTGGAGAAGTAAAATCCATCTTAACAATCTAGGTCGCGCATCTTTTTTTGCTAAGAGGAATTTTAGAGCTGCATGATCAGTAAAAACAGTGACCTTTGTTCCTATCAGATAGGAACGAAATTTATCAAATGCAAATACCACTGCTAGTAGTTCTTTTTCAGTCGTGGCATAATTTAGTTGAGCCTCATTCATTGTCCTGCTAGCATAGTAAATTGGACAAAAAATCTTATCTTTTCTTTGGCCTAAAACAGCTCCAACTGCTGTATCACTAGCATCACACATGACCTCAAAAGGTTGGTTCCAATCAGGGGATACAATTATAGGGGCAGTTGATAATTTTTCTATAAGGGTGTCAAAGGCTTTCATACAATCACCTGAAAATTCATACTTAACATCTTTCATTAAAAGGTTAGTCAGTGGTTTTGAAATCTTTGAAAAATCTTTTATGAACCGTCTGTAAAAACCTGCATGACCTAGAAAGCTTCTAATGCCTTTAACAGTTGTGGGAGGGGGTAATCCTGCTATAAGATTAATATTAGCCTTATCAACTTCTATCCCTTTAGCAGTGATTTTATGTCCTAAAAACAATTCCCTCAGTAGCCATAAAATGACATTTTTCCCAATTAAGAATTAAGTTTGTCTCTTCACATCTCTTAAGAACTAAGGTTAAGTGGTGAAGACAATCCTCAAAATCCTTGCCGAAGAGTGTAAAATCATCCATGAAAATTTCAAGAAATTTTTCAGTCATGTCAGAAAAAATTGCTGACATGCAACGCTGAAATGTAGCTGGGGCGTTGCACAAACCAAATGGCATTCTCCTATATGCATATGTTCCATGAGGACATGTGAAAGTTGTCTTATCTTGATCTTCTAGTGCGATTGGTATTTGGTTATACCCTGAATAGCCATCAAGAAAACAATAAAACCCATATCGTGCAATTCTTTCTAACATTTGATCAGTAAATGGCAAAGGAAAGTGATCTTTTCTAGTGGCATCATTAAGACGTCTATAATCTATAAAGACTCTCCATCCTGTGACGGTCCTGGTAGGTATTAGTACATTATTTTTATTTTTTATCACTGTCATACCTCCTTTTTTTGGTACCACCTGAACAGGACTTACCCAAGGGATGTCTGAAATAGGGTAAATAATACCTTCCGCCAAAAGCTTTAGAATCTCCTTTTTTACCACTTCCTGCATTGCTGGGTTTAATCTTCTTTGAGGTTGGACAATTGGTTTGTAGCTATCCTCCATGAGGATTCTATGCGTACAAATTCCTGGATTGATCCCTTTGATATCTTCTACAGTCCATCCCAAGGCTCATTTGTGTGCTTTTAATACTTCAATCAATCTTTCTTCCTGTTCCGTAGTTAGAGAAGATGAAATAATTACTGGAAATAACTCATGCTCAAGATAGACATATTTCCAATGAGAAGGGAGAGTTTTGAGTTCAATTTTTGATTGAACTTCTTCTAATTGCATGTCCCCTTCCTCATAATCTTTTTCCAATAATTTTGCATCATTTTTGATAGTCGGATCTTCATCCTGTGCGGTTCCAGATTTGACCAAACATCCATTGAGTCAGAGATTAATTGATCATCTTTGAATTCATCTATAAGATTATTAATCATGTCAATTGAAAAGCATGAAGATGATGTGTCATCTTCTGAGAATCTTAGTATCTTTTGCATATCAAAAATAACTCTTTCTTCATCAACTCTTAAAATTAGTTGTCCTTGATGGACATCTATGATTGCCCTGCCTGTTGCAAGAAATGGTCTACCCAAAATAATTGGTTCATCAGCATACTCCTTCATTTCAAGTACTATGAAATCTACAGGAAAAACAAATTTATCTACTCTTACAAGCACATTTTCAATTATTCCCTTTGGTCTCTTAGTACTTTGATCAGCAAGTTGAAGTGAAACACCTGTGTCTTTCATTACACCAAGATCTAATTTTTTAAAAATAGAAAATGGCATCAAATTTATTGAAGCTCCAGAATCACAAAGTGCTTTTTCAATGTATACTTCTCCCAGAGTACATGGAATGGTAAAACTACCTGGGTCACCGAGTATTTGTGGTAGCTTATTTTGAAGTATAGCACTGCATTTTTCAGTAAGCATTACCACAGAACTTCTTCCAATTTCCTTTTGCTTGATAAAATTTCTTTCAGAAATTTGGCATATGAAGGCATTTGCAATAAAGCATCAGTAAAAGGAATGTTTATGTGAATTTGTTTTAAAATCTCCAAAAACTTTGCAAATTGATTATCAAGCTTTTCTCTTTTCATCTTTTGAGGGAAAGGAATTGTAACAGGGAACAAAGTTAAATTTTTAGTATTTTTTTTCTTCTTTTTTCTTGGCTTCTTTCTCTTCTGATGGTTGAGAGGGTGTCTCAACATTCTCACCCTTGCCTACCTGTTGTTCTGATTGATTCTTTTCTTGTTTGTTTGCATAGGGTTCATCAAGAATCATACCTGACCGTAAGGCAATGGCTTTCCAATTTTTTCATCAGTAACCTTAATGTACTTGTACAAAAGGTCATCAAAGCTTAGATGGCCTTGTTGAGGCTTTTGCTGATATGGAGTTGCTTGCTGATAAGGCTTGAAATTTTGTTGTCCACAATTTTTATTTTGATATCCTGGACTCTGTACCTATTGCTTTTGGTAATTTTGAGAGTTTTCAGCACCATTTGCATTGCTCCATTGAAATCCTGGATGTTTTTGTGCTAATGGACTTCCAAAAGGATACTGCTTGTATCCGATGACATTGACCTGTTCATCATTTTGATTGGTTGCTTGACATTCGTGGTTTAGATGGTTTCCTCCACACAAGTCACAAGCCTCAGACTGGCTTGGTTGTTGTGTATTTACCTGAAAAGATTCAAATTTTTGTGCCAAAGAAACAATCTGTTGTGTTAGTGTATTTAAAGCATCCACCTGATTTACTGTAGCAGCTTTCTTAATGATTACACGCTCAGATGGCCACTGTATGGCATTTTCAGAAATTTTATTAAGCAATTGCAATGCTTCTTCTGTGGTTTTTCCCATTATGGAACCTCCTGCAGCTGCATCTATTACATTTCTAGAAGATGGTTTCAAACCATGATAAAAAATGTACAACTGCATATGTTCAGGAATGTCATGATGTGGACATTTCCTTAACATTGTTTTCAATCTTTCCCAAGCTTGATAAACTGACTCAGTGTCAGTCTGCAAGAAGTTAGATATATCCTGTGTTAACTTTGTTGTTTTAGCAGGGGAAAAATATTTATTTAAAAATTTCTGAGTCATTTGGTCCCATGTGGTAATAGACCCTTGCTGCAAACTTCGTAACCAAGTTTTGGCCTCTCCTTTTAAAGAAAAAGGAAATAGCCTCAACTTAATTGCTTCAGGAGGTACTCCATTATACTTTGCAGTTTCAACTAATTCTAAAAAGTCAATTAAATGACTATGTGGATCTTCACTTAGATCACCAGTGAAAATGCAAGATTGTTGAATTGTTTGAATTAGGCTTGTCCTGATTTCAAAGTTATTGGCTGCTACTGGAGGTTTCCTGACACTAGATTCACAGTTAAAGCGATCAGGTCTAGCGTAATCTCTTAGGATTCTGTTTGCTGGTCTTGGCGCCACTTCATCAAACTGCTCCTCTACATGAGCTGGTGGTGGAATTTGTAGTGGATTGTTATCATCTTCTAATTGGTGCTCCATTCTGTTACTAGTTATGTTTTGAGATGATATTTGTCCTTTCCTGCACAATCGCAAAGTTTTTTCAATTTCAGGATCGTAATTGGCCAACTCTTTTGTAGAAGAGTGGGTCATAAACTATCTGAAGTTAAAGTAAAATAAAGACAGTCCCTAAAATAGTAATAGATAGTTTTAAAAATGAATGAAAAAAAAATTAGTACGGTAATATTATAGTTAACTAAAACAGTAAGTTGTAACTAACCATCAAAAGAAATAATATAATACTAATTATATTATGTGAAAAAAATCAATAATAAATCAAGTATGTTGAATGATTAAAGTACTATCAATAAAAAAAATTGAATAAAATATTATGTTATAAAAATATAGTTGTCACGACCCAATTCCCATACCCGGTCGTGATGGCGCCTCTCGTGAAGACAAGGCCAGCCAACTAACCCAAATCCTTTCACTAATAATTATTAAACATAAATAAATAGAAGATACAACTTAATGGCATTAGAAACTGTTAATTACTACCCGACCGGGGTGTCACAAGTCACGAGCATCTAAGGAAACCTTAACACAACTACAGGCCAATAAATATATACAAGTAAAATTTCTTGAAAACAAAAGACAACATCCGGTGCCGCGAACGCTGGCGGTCACCTTGCTCAGTTACAATAACAATACCTTCAATCCGCTAATAACCCGCTACCGGGTGAACGATACCTGCAACTACACGCGAGGTGCAGGGAGTAAAGTGAGTACTTCCAACTCAGTCAGTAATAAACATATATAATGGCTGAAAGTAAGAAATTCCAAAATATTACAATATAAAGCTATAATCAGCGATTCAGCACATAAAACGATGAAACAACAACAATATCAGGACAAATAAGACAATTAGGTATAAATGCATGAATGCAATGCAATGCACATGACCGCTGCGGCGCGCAGCCCGATCTATTTGGGTACCCGCGCTCACTGTGGGGGTTCAGACTCCGGAGGGGCTCCTACAGCCCAAGCGCAATATCATCGTAACATTCGCTGCGGCGTGCAGCCCGATCCACACTCAGTCCAGGTATATATATATATATATGTATGCAAGCCAATCGGGCACAGTCAAATTATTCATTTTAGTGTCAATTATTAGGAATTTAGAGCTAAGTGTTTAAACCTTTATTTATTTACTAACCATTTCGAGGCAGTGTCTAACTCAGGACTGATATCATGAAATATGCTAAGCATCATGAAAGCAGTGATAAGGATCTCTGAAGGATGCAAATGATAGGCACAAAGCCCCAAACACATTCATAAAATCCAAGTAGGATGATTACCAAACAATTTCTAGTCAAGAACACAGTACGAACATCAATCGGAACAGACTAGGTCAAAATCCCCAGTCACTATCGACCCCGCACTCGTCATAGAGTACGTGTCTCGCCTCAATATAGCGTCACAGTGTGATATACCGGGGTTTCAAACCCTCAGGTCATCATCTACATCTATTACTCACCTCAAGCCGGCCACAAGTCTAGCTCGCTATGCCTTTGCCTTTCGAATCAACCTCTTCGCACGCCGAATCTCCAATTGGTTCTCAGTCAAAACCCTCGAAAATCCTCACCCAAAGCTCTCCAAGTCGCTTAAAATGGTGGAAACTACCTCTTGTTCGCGGATGAAATTTAATATTTTAAACCCTTCTGCCAACAGCGATTTTCGCTTATGCGGTCCCGCTTCCGCTTATGCGGGACCGCTTCTGCGGCCAAAATTCCGCTTATGCGGTCTTCACTTAAAAACCCAACGTCCACTTTTGCGTCTCCTCATCCGCTTCTGCGAACCACTCAAGACCGCTTCTGCGGTTTATAGTCCGCTTCTGCGGACTCGCATTTGCGAAAAATGTTCCGCTTTTGCGGAAACACTCCACCAGGCTACGAACCGCTTCTGCGCTCCTTTACCCGCTTCTGCGGAAAACCGTGGTCCCTCAAGGACCGCTTCTGCGACCAATACGCCGCATCTGCGGAACCGCTTATGCGGTCCCTTTTCCGCAGATGCGGAAATGACAGAACCAGCAAACTTCAAACATACAACAAACTCCGAATTCTCCGTTTAACCACCCGAATTCACCCCGAGGCCCCCGGGACCTCAACCAAAAACACCAATACATCCTAAAACCTCATTCAAACTTGTTCCCATCATCAAACCACATCAAACAATGCTAAAGCCATCAAATCACATCGAATTCAAGCCTAAGTTTCTTAAAAACTTCCGAATTACGCATTCGATCAAAAACCAGACCAAAACACCTCCGAACGACCTGAAATTTTACACACATATCCAAAATTACCTAACGGAGCTACTGCAATCCTCCGAATTCCGTTCCGACCCTCAGATCAAAATCTCACCTATCCACCGGAATTCGCCAAAATGCCAACTTTGCCAATTCAAGCCTAATTCTACTCCGGACCTCCAAAATCACTTCCGATCGCACTCCTAAGTCACAAATCATCTCCCGAAGCTAACCGAATCACCGGAATTCACATCCGAGCCTTCTAACTAATAAGTCAACGTTCGGTTGACTTTTCCAAACCAAACCTTCCTTAAAGAGACTAAGTGTCTCATTTCCTATCCAAACCAATTCAATTCAACTATAACTCACTCGTTGTTGATAATGAAACATGAAGAAGCAGTAAATGGGGGAAACGGGGCTGTAATACATGAGACGACGGGTCGGGTCGTCACAATAGTAAAAGTAATAGTTATAATAGTAAAATAGAATAGTACAGAGGATACTTTTAGAACTAGAATAGTAAAAACAAGTACTTACAATTATAATAATCATAAAAATAATAAAATATACTTAAAAAATGACAAATAAAAAATAGATTGTGAATCACAAAACTAATATATTATACTATGATATAGATGTTAGTACTAACAATAATAATATAATAATAAAATATAAAATAAAGTAGGTTGAAATACTAACAATGAGGGATTTCTTTTTTCTTTTTTTTTATATGCTTTTTTATAATATTATATAGAATTGCTCCTAACAACAGTACAATTATGATAGTAGTATGTAGGAGATAAAACTTTGAACGGAAAATTAACAATAATAAATTCTCAAATTAGTAATAAAATATTTAATCTGAAGTAGATGTGTGCCAATGCCTCGGCAACGGTGCCAAAAATTTGACGAAGCTTATGTGTATAGGATTTTCTGCTCGTACTCTGTCAAATTCTAGTATAGTGTATGATATCGTCCCACAGAGATTGGACAATCTAAGCTACAGACTTGTAATATTTTGACTGTTATTTGAGAGAACCAAATTGATGAAAGGTGTATTTGAAATTATAAATTAAAACAAATTTCTTCTGAAAAGTTTATATTTAAAAAGAGTTGGGAATCGTTGAAGTTACTTGATATATCATTAC